GGGGTAGGAACCGTCGTTTTTACAAACGGAGAACCGTAGGTACCTCAAACGAACTGGTGTAAGCAACTGTTGTATAAGTAACTGATGTAATTTTAGACGCTCCCTATATATATATATAAAATTTTCAAACATGTGTGAACCACTAGTTCGACCACTTGAACCACCGGTTCGACCAGTGAACGAGTACCTTAACTGATTGGGTTATGAAAACTATGCCTTCACCTAATGCTAAAAAGCACTAGTGTAAAAATCAATTCCCACATCCTAATAGATAGTGTATACTCTTTCACCCTTGTCTCTTTTTTTCTTCATCCTTTTCAATTTCTCCTTCCCAACCCCTCTGTCAGTTTGTTTCAATTTCCATTCAAGCCAAAACCGCTGCTCTGCGTAACCTCTCTCGGGTAAATTGCTCTAATTTACCTCCTATTTTGTTCATTTTTTCAATTTGCCCTGCCGTAGAACTGGAAGCCAAAATCGATACTCTCCTCAAACTCTTTTTCAGGTAAATTGGTGTAATAGAAATAACTCTAAATAGGACTAAAACATAGGAAAAAACCAAAATAGGACTTTCAATTTTTTCCCCGTAATAGGACTTCACACTGTGGTAATGTGGCACTGTACATGTGCACATTACTATACTTTTTGGTAATGTACATGACAATGCTTGGTAATGTAAATGCATTTTAAGTCTTATTTCGGGAATCAAAACATGGTAGTCCTATTTTGTTATATTTTCAATGTTTTAGTCCTACTTTGGTCTTTCTTCCTTTATACTACGTCACTTGTTTTACTTTAATGATTCTTAGATCACACTTTCCGTTCTCTTCTTTAGGTGCACCTTCATATAAGATCAGTTAGAAAATATTTTCTACTCTCACAAACATTTTTTTGAAAAAAGAAGAGAAGAAAATGCTTCTTATTTTAGAAGGTCTACAAAAAATAATGTGGATCTTAGCATCTTTAGTGCTAGTTGGTTATAATTTTTGGCTATCTTTTACTCCGGTATTATCAGAAGGCTAAGAGCAAAGGTTGCTTGGTGAAACAACCCTCTCACAAATTGAAGCAATTGTACTTCTATGCCATAAGCCACATAAGCATTTCTTTAATTTATTTAAATATTCTTAAGCAACTAACACTAAAGACACTCTTAAGTCCACCAAAGAAACACTCAGTTCCGTGGCTATAAATGTATGAGGCATTGAGATTTTGGCTTTGCCACGATACCATGTAGATCTTGGTTCCACCTTGTTGTCTTATTTTGTTCTTTCCAAAATAGATTATTTTGTTATTATTCAAATTTCTTGATAATTTTTTATTTATTTGTGTGCTTTCATTTATTATTTGACAAAATAAAATATGCTTGTCTATGGCCTCTTATTTTATAGATTTTTTACATGTTTTTAATATGTACTTTGTACGTTGTACTTATTACTCCCTTCGATTCAGTATCTCGTCTAAATTTTCTTTTTTTTAACCAAACTCGATGAACTTGAATTATCAATTACTCTAAATTTTTATAGCAAATTAATTAATACAATCAAATATAATTTTGAAACACCTCTATTTAGAATGAATTTTTATACTAATGTAAATTATACAGTAGTTTTTACATCCTCCGTCCCTAAAAAATGTCTCCGTTTTATTTTTTGCGCATTCTGTAAAACACATCTATCTTGCCTCAAATGTCAAAAAAACTTTTAAAACAACTTCTACACATAATAAGGGAGAAATGTGGTAAATTTTAGACATTTTTAATGTGGATAAAAATATTTTATGAAATGCACAAAAAATGAAATAGGAACATCTTTTTGGGATGAAGGGAGTATTTAATTAAGATTTAAAGTACGTCCAGTTTCATTTGAAAAAGTCAAATTCCATGAATATATTGGAACAGATCAAATGTAATATTTCCATACCGATTTGTAAATAAAATAAACTTAAAAATCATGGGATTTTTAACATGTATCTTCAAAAGTGTAATCAGTTATAGAATGGAGTATATTTCATTCTTTTAAAAAATTATTTTTCTTTGAATTTGTACATTTTTAATATTTCACTCTAACAAATTATTATATGATTAGTAAGTGGCCTTTTGATCATAATTTGTTGTTTTTTATGCATTTGAAACAATAAACTTTTGATGAATAAAATCATTATTGGTTCAAGGAATCTGAAAAAGAAAAGAAAAGAAAACGAGATTGAAAACAATTTTTCATTTTGGTTAAAGAGAAAAAGAAAAGAAAAATGGAGGTAATAACAAATGAGAGGCGAAATATACTAAAAGGAGGAAACCTCAAATTCCTTCCATTTTGATGAGAAAAATGAAAGAAAATCATTTTCTTTTATTTTCCTTCCAAATTTCTTGAACCAAACAGTGTAAGAATCACCATTTCAAAGGGAAAATGCCAATAGGATTACTATTTAAAAAATTTCATTCTAGATTACTGTATTTTTAGCATGATGCTAAGTTACGTTACTGATCTTTCTGCGAGCTGTCAGTTAAATAATCTTCTAATACAAATTATTACTCCCGATACGGTAGCCTCTTAAAGTATATGCGAAGCTATAAACCGCTCCTTATTTGCATTTTTTAGAACTACCAAAGGCTTATGACCTCAAGTTTGGCAAATTCTTCTGTGGTTTAAGGATCATCCTCATATTATAGACTTTAGTGCATTAATATCGTAAAAGAATTGGACCTTTCACAAAATAAAAAAGACCTACTTGCCACCCCATAAAAAATGCAGGTTGGTCCACATTTTACATGTGGACCTTGGGACTACGGAAGAACAAATCCTTGCAATTTATACCTTTTAAATTTTAATTCAAGCATAGCTTCTAAAGTTTGGATTTTAAGATTTAAGCCACATTTAGCATCAGTGTTAAGGTTAACGTTAGGGTTTGAAAAGACTATCTGATAATAGTCTTTAGCTTTAGTGAAATTTAGACTAAATAGTACTAAAACATTTGTCTTTTCCCAATGTAGTACCTAAAACTTTTTATTTTATAAATAGTACTTGAACAATGTCCAACGGCAGGAACAATGTTCAGTGACAGTGGATATTTACTTTGAACAATGTCCAGTTAGGGAGGACATTACTTGAACAATGTCAAATGGACATTTAATATTGGTACTACATTGAGAAATTAAATATATGATACTACATTGTTAAATTCTTTATGTTTTCGTACTATATAGGTAAATTTTCCTTAACTTTATCACTTTTCAACACCATTAAAATTTTATTGATACTACAAATGCTAATCGAAAATGTTGATCCCAAAAAAACCCTGAACAATTGAAAATATGAAGTCTGAATAGTCAAATGACTCGGAAAGCACTCTAATTTTAACTAAAGAGTTTTTTGCGCCATTTACCCCCCAACTCTATAAAAATTATACGGATTTCTCCTGAACTTTAAAATTTTGCACCATGATTCTCAAACATTCAAAAAGTTGCATCAGTGATCCCTCAGCGGTAGATTTGAGAGCGCGTTAACCACATAGGGATCAATGGTGTAATATTTTTAAAAGTACAAGGACCGTTGGTATTATTTTTAAAATTCATAGAAAATGAGTGCAATTTTAGAAGTGTTCGAGAGTAAATAGTATGTAGTACTATTTTACCCTTCTTCGTGTAACAATAGTGTGATCGTACTTAACATAGCTGTATACTTGTGTAACTTTTCAAGGCAAGGTCAATTCCAAAGAGCTTGAAATAGTAATGAGATCATTGGGGCGGAGCTTGTCAGAAGCAGAGCTGGAAGAAATGATCAAAGAAGCGGACACCGATGGGAGCGGCACGGTAGACTTCAACGAGTTCATTGAGCTAATGGCTTCTAAGAATGTGGGTCGTGAGGAGGAGGAAGAGTTGAAGGATACGTTTTGAGTTTTGGATAAGGACAACAACGGGCATATCACCGTTGACGAGCTCCACCACGTGATGCACAGTCTCAACCAGAAGTTGAATGATGCAGAAGTGGAGGAGTTGATGAAGGAGGCAAATGTGGACAACAATGGGGTGATTGATTACCAACAGTTTGTGAATGTTATCATGTCATGATTAGGTCATTACACCCTCACTAATTCAAGTACTGTAAAATGAGATCTTGGCATATTGCAGAGAACGCTAACAATAATTTCATAAATAATCTTTTATAATAGAGGATTTTCCAGATTTAATCCTCGATTCTAAAATATTGCATTCCTGGTCTTTGATTATTGAAAAACATTCCATAACTACTTTTTAAGGCCTAATACAATAAATATTTTTTCCGTCTCCCAAAGACTGATTATGAAATAGTTTTAAAAATTTAAACACCACAGATGTAATACGGAGTATCTAATTATTAGGGACTAAATATAGAACACCACCAATTATAAAGGACTATTGATAAAAGTTATTCTAATAATAAGCGTAAATTCCATAAATAGTCCCTTATAAGAACAAATTTTCTATATTTAGTCTTCAATTCTAAGATACTCCGTATTGCATTTGTGGTCCTCGCTTGTTCACAATTGTTTATAATTAGTCTTGTTTCGGGACGTTCATAACTGTTCATAATTAGTCTTCTTTTCGGGACATTCATAACTGCTCATAATTAGTCTTTTAGACTAAATATGAGGAAAAAAGATTAAAATAAGAGTAAAATATAGAAAATATATCAAAAATAAGAATTTTATGTTTTTATATCTAAAATAAGAGTTAAAATACATTTAGTGTCATTAATGACCATATACAAAATCAAAAAGTATTGTAAAATGCCTATATATATTGTTCATTATCACAGTGCAAACTCTTGTTTTGGAGATAAAAACATGAAACTCTTTTTTAATATTTCTCTGTGTTTCTCTTATTGTGAGTGATTTCTTCAATTATGAGCAAACCCTTTTTTCACGTAAAGTCACCCAATCAAGGATTATTAAATACAGAGTAGTTTTTAAAAATTGAAACCATGTATTTAATATTTAAGAATTGGAGACTAAATAAATAGAACATGTTATAAGACACCATTCATGGGATTTATTCAAACAAGATATTGAGTAGCTATGGAAGCGATGGTTTAGTACAATTGTTCTAATGTTGCAGAGGTCGACTGAGGAGCTTGGAAAGCAGAGGCCGGAGCCAAAAAGAGGTGCGTAAAGGCAAAAAACAGCGCAAATCAAAACCTTGTCTTCGCGACTTCTGTACAAATTTCTAATTTACATATCTTGAAGGGAAAATAACACTTCAGCAGTTCGGCATTAAGATCGTGTCAAGTATGCCGTAGCAATTCGCAGAGTGCGGTACAATATCTCCACTTCAGTGTCTCTTCATGATTGTACTATTTCTAATTTTTTCCCCAAGGATTATATCTTGGAGAGACAATTTACACAATTTTTTTTCTAAGGATTTATATCTTAGTTGCATTGGTAATACAGATCTTAGTGGTGTTATATTACCAGCCTTATTACACAATTATCTTAGCATCCTTGTAACTATTCGGACATCACATACATTCCGTTTCTGTTAGTGAATGGACAAAAATTACATGGATGAGGATTTAAGGACTATAAAGTGAATGCGCCAGAGATTAACCCTGTTTGGGAATAGCGTTAGAGATTAGCATTAGCGTTTTGGATAAAATTTTAACGGTTCAGATTACTTTGAAAACGCTAACGCTAAACGCTGGCCGTAGATAGCCTTTTCAAAACGCTAACGCTAATCGTTAACGCTTTTACCAAACATGTCCTAAATAACTAACTACGGCATATCTCCATGAATAGATTGTCCCTATTTTCAATTACTTGAATATATTTCATGTGTGAAAACATGCCATGTCTCAAAAATAGCATCATGATGCATGAAGATGATGATTGTATCCTAGTAGTAGTAGTATTAGTGATGATGATGACAACGTTATAGTAATATACATCGACTCCATAGTTCATGAATACCCCAAAGCCATGAGAACTGAAACAGACTACAAAATCATGCTCGTTTTCTTGAAAAGGCCGGAAAATGGCATATGATTGAGCTGATAAATGCAGTGAGAATGTATGCTAGCTACACCTAAAGATAAATGCAAAGGATGGAAACACCCAGAGAGGATCAAGGGTACACCTAAATACATTCTTGCATTTGGGCATCATTAGGGAGAATGCATCATCAGATCAGAGATGTAGTCATACACTAGTTGGGACTTGGGAGATAAAAACCCACAGAGTTGTCTGAAACCAAATTACTGATCGAGCGCAAATATCCACATTTGAGAGATCAGATATTTACCTCCTTAGTGGTTTATAGAGGACAACCGTGACATATTTGGCCTGGAACCTATGTGTAAGACCAAGAGCAACAGAAGACTGTGATGACGACCATTCTTTCTCTATGAAGAGGTGGTTAAGCACCACATGCTGCGGCTTGGAAGAAGCATCAGTTTCATCTGGTTTATCTGAATCGAGAACTGTCAGATGGAGTTGAGGAGGAACTACCAACGGATCCTTGGCAAAATCTTCTTCCCCTAGAAATGCCTGATCATAGGTAGAGTCAGGTGACGGCGGGGCCTCAAACTCTGAGACACTGTGCAGGTTCTCAGGCACACGATTCTGCGAAAGGAAAAATAAAACCTTCGTTTGGTGACATATACAATTGGTGAAAAACTTGTATCATGGCGTTAAATAATCAAATCCCACTACTCAATGCATGCAATTTTTAAAAACCTATTTGATGAAGTGTGAAAGTAAAGGTGTTCCCAAAGAAAATGACAAAAGCCTGCTTCAGAGAATGAATTGCATTCGTGCTGCTTTCAAGGGGTTACTCAAGTCCACATTACATCAGCCATGTGAAGCAATTAATCAATCATATGAACCAATGGAGAGGAAGAATAATTTCCTCACATTAACATCAAGAATATTACAGACACGACCCAACTCGTCTGCCACCCAAGGAAGATCAGCAATATATCGAACTTTGCCATCTACAATGAACTTGTAATGGTATACACCTGACGGGAGGACCAAGATAACATTGTGGTCCTTGTCTGATCCCTGGAGTATCTTCCTGAAGGTAGATGTCATGCTTCACTCTTTACATCATCATAGATAAGATTATTCAAAAAGACTACAATTTGGGAAATAAAATTACTTACCTTGACCTCCAATTATCCCAAGATCCTTCCAGAGTTACATTGTGTCCCCCATGGCTCCAAGTTATCAAAGTAGGTATGCCCTGCTCTGGGGTATGATCAACAGTAACATGAGGCTCACTGGACCATATTTGATTGAAAACAGGAGCACCATCGCCCCCTTGAGGTTGCAGTGGTGCTACTGGAACCTACAAAAAATAAGAAAGGGGAATATTATTTTAATTTTATAGATCACTACCAAAATACTTTAATCAAGGATGATTCTGCAATATCAGCCACGTTTCATCTTAAATTCCAATGTGAAGACAAAGAAAAAATCACGGCCAAATTTTACGCACTGAGAGTGAAATGGGATTGAAATTGGCGAAAATTAGCTACAGATCGAACAACACTGCATGGACGGGAAGGAGAATGCTGAACCTGAGGAGCGAACAAGAGAGGCGACGGGGAGCGGTGCGGACTCTGCAGCGGCGAATTGGACATCAGGTCAGCTGAAGGAACTCGCGAGCTTGGCGCCTGATCAAGCATGCCGGATTCGCCGTCGGATCTTCCCGAAACTTCATCGCTGCTGCCGGGAAGTCCGTCTTCTCTCCCGTTAGCATTCCCCATCCAATCTTCTGCGCATGTATTGGGTGCAGAGAAAGGCGAGGACGGCGAGGGTTGAAAATAAAAAGCGCCGCCGGAGATTTGGGGGTTATACGTAATTAAGCCGATCGGCACTGGGAAATCGGAGAGAAAGGAAGAGGGGAGGGGTAGTTGAGACGGAAAAACGAAATAAACGTGGATGACGTGGAACGATCTGCGACGTTGAAATAGGATAAGCTCGAGAGCTGCGTCACATCTGACTCGCACCCTTGTTGCTTGCGTGCTTATCCACTTCTACTGAGGGTTGTTTGGCCGGAAGTACCCGTTTCAACTTTCAATCACTCTGTAATTTCCACTTTCCATCAACCAGGCACTTGCCCTCAATAAAAATTTATATCCCAAAGTTCTACATTAAAGAATGAATTGACATTTTAAAAGTTTATATCGATACAAAATATTAATCTAATTAAAAAAATTTACACTAATATTTTTTTGTCAATATAAACCATCACACTAGAATTACACTCGCACAAAGCGTGAGTGCATGCCTTTGAACTTGCACCCAGTAGGTCTATCTAAGCCCTGGATTTGCCGCTGCATATATTCTCACTGTTAGACACGTAACAGCTCTAGATACTAGAAAGCTTAATCGAAAAGTCGTAAGAGAGAGACTCAGTACGGTACCTTTAAAACCGGCCATACCAATGATCTACCATTCATTATTGTTTTGATGTTAAAAATATATTTTCACTCTTCCGACAAATTTATAAAAAGTAAATACCAAGATTTATATGAATTCTTCATCAACAAGCGTATTTCTTAGTTATAATGTTGAGAGGCGTAATTGCAAATTGATTATTTCTATAAAAAAATATAAAAATGAATTGTAATTGATAAGATTTTGACACCAATAACTATAGCGTGCGAAGAACAAAAGAATGATAAGAACTGTATTGGAGAAAATAAGAAGGCTCGTGTTTTATATAAGTTACATTCAGCTTGGGTTACAATGGAGGGTTTACCCTCTATTTATAGTCTACATCTACCGTATACAAGGCACATAATATTTTGTGTGCTACATTATCAGTAACACTCCAATCATGCGTCAATCGTGGCGGAAATCAGTCATCATCCCCCCCCTCAATCTCATTCGGGTGTTGGGCCTGGCCCGACACTCCGGGTCCACCTTCGGGCCTCTACGTTCTGCGGTTGGATTTGTAACCCCGTTGGGCCATGGAGTCACAATTGGGTTGTCCCTATCTGATTTATGGGCCCGGATATCCATTACAAGCCCCCTAGTTCCTTAGTAACGCGTATTAATGATGAGTCGTCTTTGATCATCGTGCTGGATCAGAAACGATCCCACTCCTTACTCAAAATTCAAGTCGTAACGTCTATAAAACCCGCTCCACTTCGGAGACCCGTTTACGCCTTCGCATCATTCTTTGACCCGATCTCAGGGTTATCTTCCACTATCACAGCTTTCCCTCCCGAATTTCCGCAGCATGACTTCCCAATCCTCTGACATTGAGCAATGGCGGCCCGAATCCTCCACGATTAAGGATTCGGAGCTTGTCCTCATGCCTAACCTTCTTGGAGATCCGTTCAGAGTCCATAATCTGGACACCATGGGCGGGATCGATCTTGCATATAATCTAGAGCCAGAGCGCTTTCTGGTTATGTACTATGATTTAGTCCTCCATGGTTTCAGACTCCCATTGCACTCCTTCATCCGCGAGGTATGCACGACTCTGGAGATACCTCCTGGGCAATTCACAGCCAATGCCCATAAATACCTTGCTTCTTGCATCCTTTGCTGCCACGACAAGGGAAGAACCCCCTCAGTCGAGGACTTCATGACTTTGTTCAGCATTGGTGGTTCCTTCCCTTACTTCAGTGTGTTCACTCACCAAAAGCACCCCATTTTCACGAAAGTGTAGCTAAAAATCACGCACTAGAAAAAAGGTTTTTTGCTATAGAATTTATAATACACAACCCTTTAGATCTACCCTCTGTGGTGTTGCGGTCTAACCTTTCACGGACCCCATTTTTCAAGGGTTCCCAGGTCGATAAGGCCTATGAGGAAATTCAAGCGTCCTCCCAACTGATTGAAAAGCACGCAGCCATATTCCAGAACAAGGATGCACAGATTGCCTTGCTGGGGTTGATCTAAAGGAAGCCTGGCGGGATAGTGTCACGGAGTTGTAAGCCAAGTTCCGCCATATGAAACATAAGAAAATCCTCCACGGGAAAATAACTTCACTCAAGGAGAAGATTGGAAAACTGGAGAAGGAATCAACCAACCAACAGGCCTAGATCGAGAGAGTGGAGAAAGTGTCAGCTCAGCAACAAGCCCAGATTGCCAGGTTGATTGCCCGAGCTAATTCCTGCTATGCCAAAGGCAAGTGTGATATGCAAGCCTGCATTTATGGGCATATTGAAGAAGATCTACCTCATGAGCTGAGCATGGAAGCCTTCATTGAGCACTATGGACTACCTTCCAGACTACCGCCTCCGGGTTCCTTTGAAGCTTGATTTCTTGTAACCTTTCCTTGTAAAATTTGAATTTTTGTGCTGTGAATGGCTTCTTCCCGGGCTACCGGGTCACATATTTCTAACCTTCCCTAGATTCCCTGGCGATGTAATGTTAAACCATGAATTGCCTTGTTCTATGTAATTTGTATCTTCCTGACTTGTCCATCTACTAGTATTTCCAGTGTTTAGCATAAATAGTTCATCCTGCTTTAATCGTCTAGGCCCGACAGCAAATTGGCCCACTTTGTGTTGCTAAGAAGCCCTAGCCAACCTCGGAAATGTGCAACCACTTTTGCTTGCCAATCACTACTTTTTCTTTGACTCTTCTATCCTCTGCACATTCCCTAGGTTAGGCCCCTTGCTATATAAAGGGCCCTTACCATCTTAGTCTCATCATCATCTCTCACGCTTCTCCTCTTCCCATCATGGCCGATGGTGCCAAAAAACCAATCTTCATTGACCTCACTATTTCTAATTCCTCTTCTTCAGAAACCCCTTTACCTGAATCTTCTATCTCTGAGCCTTCTGTTACTTCCAAGAATGCGGCAAGAGTGAACTCACCAGAGTGCGCAAGTCCTTAGCACTCTCCCTAACATTCTTTGGATCCTCTATCTCTCAGTTCTCACCAACCCCACGGGGATGACAACGCGGAAGGTACTTCCTTTAATGAGGTTAGTCCTTAATATCAGAGGAGGCACCGAACCAGTGCATATGAGGTCTGTCTTATTGCAGGAACAAGGCGTCTACAAGATGGTCTCCACCTACCTCTACAGCCACGCCGGGCTGATCTTAGCGTCTGGCTAGAGATTACGATATGGGCAGGGAGAGCAACCCGTCCATTCACCCGGAAAGGGGAGAGAACGGGCCTCACTGTGGCCCTCCGCCGTTGTCTTCCTAAGTGAATGGATGCAATATGCTCTTGATGGGCATCTTGCTCTAGCCCTTTATCCATCTGGGTTTGATGGCTTGGCTGGTTTTTCGTGCCAGTCTTTCCACTATCGATGAAGCACAGTGATCCTGTGTTCAATTCCACTATCGGATTCTATCCCCCCTTCAACAATATATTAGGGATACAATCTCATTTGGATCCAAAGCCACATATTATCCTTTGAAAAGTAGATCAGGGATAAAAATTCATTGTTGTGACCCAAAGATATGTAATTCCTCATTCGAGTCATTTAATGAAACAATATATATCTCATCTCATGTATTTCCCAATTACTCTTCTTCTTATTTATCCCATGAAAGGTTAAAAGTATCATCATTGCACTCCACAAGAGTCATGACCTTCTTATTGGGACAATCTTGAGCTATGTGACCATTGCCTTGGCAACGATAACATTTCGGAGTTCGGTTGATATTTTGATTGTGCCGAGGTTGATTTTGGATATTTGAGGGAGGGTTCGGAAGTATGGGTTTATGGTTAGAGGACGTGGGAGGTGGAGGGGATGAAGGAGTGGAGAGTAAAGGTGGGTATGAAGAGGAGGTTCTCATTTGGACAACCTTGCCTTTCTTGATTTGGCTTTCAACTTTGAGAGCCAACTTTGTAAGATCGTCAAGGGTTTGGTAGTCTTGCAGTTCCACGATATTAGCTATTTGGACATTCAATCCAAATACATACCTCACAAAAGTTTGTGAATCATCTTCTTGAAGATCACACCTTAATAAGAGTTCCTCGAACTCTCGGTTGTATTCCTCTACAGAACGAGAGCCTTGCCTCAAGTGTTGAAGCTTAGCAAAGTTTTCTCGTATGTAGTTCTCGGGCAGAAACTTCTTCTTCAAGAGTGCTCGCATCTTGTTCCATGAGGTCACCGGGGACTTGTTTTCTCTTCTACGCCTAATGGTGACGTTAGTCCACCAGGTTGACGCATACTTTCTGAACTTTAAGGCCACGAGTTTGACCTTCTTCTCTTCGGACACATTTTTGAAGTCAAAGACACGTTCAACGGTCTCTAACCATTCAAGAAAGTCATCAGGGTCGTTCTTTCCTTCGAAAGTGGGCATATCAACCTTGAAATCAGAGGCTGACTTCTCTGGATTTCTAGCTCTTATGGTAGCAACAGAACTAGCATCATCTTCATCTTCACTTTCTTCAGGAGTTTGAACCATACTCAACTTGAATTTAGTGAGCTTTGCCACTTCTTTTGCCAAGTATTCAACTTGAGCCTTCAATTCTGCATTTAAAGCAATAAGCTCTTCTTGGGACATGTTTTGAGTTGTGTGAGACATGGTTTAAAAGAACCAGGTGTAGGGAAAGAGGGGTGTGGTTGGTTATGTGAAGAAAATTCAGCAAGGTAAGATAGTCGATTATCTGAGTTTGATAACCGATTATCGATGCTATCAGGATCAAGATTGGGAGAGAAAGAGAGAATGAGAGGGAAGTGTTTGTGGACCTCAAGGAGATGTTCAACAACAAGCTTTGATACCAAATGTTGTACCCGAGACCCGGGGTAGTCTAGGATATCAACTTAAGAAGAGAAAGAAGAAGAGAAGGATGTAGAAATTTAGGGGAGGCTGAATTCAGGAGAGAACAAAGGAGAGGGAAAGAAGCATTTATCAAGTGAATAATAAGAAGAATCACACACACTTATCTTCACTCGGGTTAAACTCTAGTATTTAAATAAGGAATCACTCAACTTATTTAATATATCTAGAACCTAAATCTCCCACTTAAGAGAACCACTCTTAAGATATAGAATTAGGATTTAATATATAGAATTTAGAGAGAGACTGAGCAAGAAACTTATATTATCACAATATATTTTTACAAGCTGATCAATACAATGAACCAGGGCTGAAATATATAGGCCATGGAATGGAGAAACAATACAACAAACATGATTACATGATAAATAAAATACAACAAAGGAAACTTCCCACTTCTTTCCTACAAAATAAAACAAATGCTGTGCATGTGTTAATATCCCAAATGAGTTGAATTCGAGGCTAATGATCAGGGATTTGGCATGTATTTTGGGTGGTCTTAATGTATGATTTTCGTCCTTACGGTGGGGGAATAAAGGAAACAACATGGCTTGACTTTTAGTGAGTAATAGGACAAGATATTACTATTCAATCAAAGACTTTTTGGGCAGGCACATGGATGAGGGATTAAGCTTTGTTTTGTATTGTAAAAGTCTTTGACTTTGTTGAATAATAACATGGGAATTTTGTCCATATATAGTGGGAATGATATGTAGCCAAGGGTGTTCCTAAATGACAAAACCTTTAGTGTTAAATCAAAGATCACTTTGGTTTCTAAGTTCAGAGACATGTGATAACGAGTATCTCTTACTGATAATCGATTAACAAGGTGTGTCTACTAAACCAAGAATTTTCAGAGGTATCCAGTAGTCGATTGACACTTCAAGATTAATCGATTAACAAGGACTGGCTTCCAAACTAGATATCTTCAGAGATGAGTGATAATCGATTTTCAACTGGGAGATAATCGATTATGGAGCATTGCATGAATACGTTAGAAGAATTCAGAGGGAAGCAATAGTCGATTATCTATGTTAGATAATCGATTATCATGTCTAAAAAAAACAAACAAAGGTTTTATTTCACCTTCGGCCTAGGCTTAGTAATGAATAACAAAGACTTTGTTTTGGGCAGATAAAATAATTTTGGATGTTGTGGGAGAGGGTTTGTGGGTTATGGTTTGGCTTAGGGGGGGTTTTGGGCAGCAAGGGTTATTGGTTGGGCTTTTTGATGGGAAAAAGGAATGAATTCAACCCAATAAGTATTATAACACTTAAGCATTAACTCCTGATTTTGCTTACCCTTTGGTGATGCATGGTGGGGTACAACAGGACCCCCCTGTGAAACGAGGGGAGAGGGCTGGCCAAAATGGTTGAGGAACAAAAGGGGGAGTTGAAGGTGAGTTTTTGGGTGAAATGGGAAGGGAAAGGGGGATACTTTAAGGGGGAAAGAGTGAGGGTCGAATGGGGCAGTGAAGGAGGGTGTTTAGGCTTTGATTTTTGGACTAAGGAGTAGGAGAAGAAGGGTTGTTATAGAAGGGAAATGGGGAGGCCGAAATGGAGGAAGAAAGAGGAGGGAGTTCTTTAGTTGTTTTCTTTAATGGGGATAAACCAAGTGGTGTTAAGGGATATTACACACCCTTAGCTTACTTGGGGTTGAGTCTAGTATTCAAATAAGATATTACACACTCATTCAAATAACTAGAACCTAAAACTCACACTTAAGAGAACCACTCTTAAGATATAGAAATAGGAATTTTAAGAGAACACACACAAGTGTATTACTTAGTAAAATGGAGAATACAATGCTTCAAATGACAAGGCCTAGGGCCGTATATAAACACATCAAGGGGAGAGGGAAGCTTCCTAGTTACATTCACTTATTTAGGGGAATAATGTCCACTTTAATGGAATGAAAACAAGGGAGAGGGTGAGGTTGTGGGGGAAGGTGTTTCGGCCTATTTGGGAGGAAAAAGGATGGTGGGTTTTGGGCCAATGCATACAGCCACTAGGAGGAATAAAAGGGTGTAAATTAGGCAGTCCTTTGGCTTGATGTAATGAATGGTATATGGGTATTCCTTGGGGGGATGTTTCGGCCATAGTATGGGGAATAAGGGGGAACATGAGACTTGATTATTTGGCTGGACATGGGG